CCGGGCTAAAGCTCAATAAAAAAAAATAATAATAATACAAGAATAACATTTTAATAGAGAAAATACCTGTTGATATTGCTCTATAAATATTTATGCATAAGTAATAATAACATTATACTAAGTTATTTAGATATCTGAGTTCAAGTTTTGTCTTGTTTTAATATATGTATAAGGTCTCAGGTCCATTTTCTTTTCATTCGATGGGTTGTATCTCCTAAGTATATACAAAGGATACATTTGATATGAGAGGATTTGAAAAATTGAACGATGATATTATAGTTGCTTATGAAACTTTTTGAAGAGTTTAGATGATTTATCGGTGGCGTCATTAGGTTGAGCCGTTGAGGTCATCAAAGTGTTGGATGGTTTGGTATTATACATTATTTTATACGAACAAACACTGGCGCATTGGTTATTGTTCTGACTTTCTGAGGGATATTGACCGGAAAGATTGTAGAATAATATTTTAGTATTTGACTTTTAGATGCTCCCCAACATTGAATTCTATAAGAAGCCAATTTTGTAATTTAACACTGTAGTTTTTTATAATATAGGCATATTTCATAGATTCATTATTATTTAATACCTACATTTTTTGCGATCAGTTGAATTATTTACTAGCAATAATGCTCGTTCGAATGATTGTAATCGTCGTTACCAGAAATTAGAAAGAGCAATATACTAATATTATACTATTATAATATTAAGTCATTCAACGGAAGACTATTGTAGTATTGTTCTATAAATGTCACAAATACCATGAGAAGAAATTGCTAAATTAGTAAATGAGGTGACGAGAAGATAGCGGGTTTTTCAAATGAATTTACTTAATGAACATCGTATTCACATTGTAAATAACGTTCGTTATACTATATAGATTATAATATATATAGCTATTGCATTATTTGTATATAATATTATATATCTATAACTTTATACTCAGTTTTCGCTATTGTTGTGTGCGTTAAAAAACGTCATTACGCCACATTATAAGTATATTGTTAACAGAATATAATATATATACCACGTTGACGCGCGTACATCGTAAATTTATTATTTCCTGAACATGAATGAAACTCTTCGGCCTTGGTGTACCTACATGTAGTATATATTTTTCGCGTCTACAAGATTTTGACATGATTATACCGCAAAATTGTTATTAATTTCTAAATGTACATTATAAATTTAATAATACAAATCATGATCTATATATATATATTATACCCATATAATATATATATATATATATATATATATATATAATATATGTAATATTATAATATTTACAATCTATGTATGATATTTTATATATTATCATATTATTTCGTCTTACACATTTGCTTGTGAAATTTTAAACTCAAAATATATCGAAAGTAACAGACAATATTATTTAGTCGGTTCTATATTTTACATTATAATAATGATAAAGTATTGTTTATGATAACGTGGGAAAACGTTAATAATTCGTGACACAGTGCAATACTGTGATAGTGTATTTTACTATAAACATATTTTAATATACACACTACACAGGAATCAATAGATATATGAGTTCATCGTAAATCGGTTATAATTTTTCAACGTGCATATTAAAATTGTAATTTGACAAAAAATTATGTGTTTTTATTCGAAAATATGTTTTTGTTAAAATCTTAAAAATTATTGCATTATTATTATTAGATGTCCACATTTTCATACTCGTGCGTTAAAAAAATTATCACCAAAACTATATAAATTGACCAACACTACTTATGACTGCAGCCTTCGGGATCATTTGACAAGTATATATAAAAATATAAATATATTTTGATTTCGTGTCGCAACTATGATAGAGATATACCTACATTAATATTTCACATAGGTCCATATTATATATATATCCAATTTGGTCTTATAATGAATACAATTTTAAATTGTTTTGGCATGCAGCCCACAAAGTATTCTATTCAATATTTTTGGCCCAGTAATAAATAATAATTTGAGTTTGACATGCTTGATCTTAGTGGTCAGTCATACAACTACTAGTACTCCAAATACATATTTCATTAAATTCATATATGATTATATTTACTTGCATTAGTGCATCTAGTAACGGTTAAAAAAACATAAATATATATTTTTTAATAAGCATTTATACCTGCTAATTGAAAGTAGTATGGAATATCATTATAAAATATATAGTAATATGCAGTAAATAGCTGTGATGTTTTTAATTGATTCATATATAATACGTGTAGGTATGTATATTGTATTATTTTAATAAAATAAAATGATGCCATTAAAAAATATTCTTGCCTCTTGGAAGATATTACTATTCCATTTTGAGCGTAGCGAGTAATGTATTGATGTTACGATGATTTGGTTTTTCTTATTGTACAGGTACCCACTATTCTTTTTTTCTATAAGTTCTTCAATAGATCAATTTTTTTATGTACCTTGTTGATATTATAAAGAGGTCATTTTTTGATTTTCTCGGTAATGTCTTTAGGTGTAAGTAAAAATTACCAAAACAGTGTAAGAATATAGTGAAATCTTCAAAACCAGTTATTGATGAAAATAATTTATGTTGTCTTAATTCAAAAAATTATCATTAATTCTTGGAAATGTTACAGACTATTTTATTAATGATAAACTATAATAAACGTTTAGTGCATTTCTTCTATGTGTTGTAGTTATACCTAGTTTATGTATAGCCGTATTAACAGAATTATAATATATGTAATAACTTAGATAGTAAAATAAATTTAAAAACATCATTGTAAAATCAATACATTCCTCTATCACTCCTTAGAATTTAAAATTCTAAAACGTCCTATTAATTCTGATCCAACCACTAATCAGTATATATGTAGTACATTCAGTTTCTATACTAATAAATTCAAACGTTTATCGAATACAATATTATTTATCATTATTTATAGGTATGTAGGTACCTACTTAGCCACTTAGGTATACATTATCAAAATAATCCCCATCTTAAATTCTTATTCACAAGTCCCCACACACTATTCAGGTATTATAGAAACATTTTTGTAATTTACATTTTAAACCTGCACAGAAAATGCAACTTTTAAGTTTTGAACTCAGCTTTAAAATGTTGATTAAATCAATAAATGACTTGAACCGAGACACAAGTTAGGGTGGTAGATTTAGGTAAGATCAAATTGCACTATTTTTGTAGAGTGGCCCTCGGGGCAGAAAAATGTTAAATGTTGAATAATGTCTTATGCACTCGTTCCATAAACTCTATTTACCAACAAATATAAATAAATAAGGGTTCTCAATTCTCATAATAATTTAAATATTTATTTCTGAACTATAGGCACTAAATCGATTGAAAAACATGTAATATTGTGAAACTAAAATTAATTTTTAAAGTAAAGATCGGATAAATTAATGAAATTTAACATTACTATTTTTGAACACGAGTGCTATTCATATATTTTGGATTAGGTAAAGCAGAGTTTGACTATGCCCGCGGATTTGGGCGATGACTCACGGGTGATCACCTAATAATTAATAAAAAGTAATTATATAATGTCGTATGATATAACGATTGGCGGCAAAACGCGTATGTATCATAATAATATTAATATAAGCGATATAACCGATATCACGTGACGAATCGATCGCTGGCATCGTATAATATTATAATAACAACTCCTGCAGCGATATGATGACAATATTATCATCGTATATTTTATGACATAATAATAATTATTATGAAATTATAATAGTGAGTCATAATATCCAAGTCCTGAACGCGGATGTCGTCGGTCACACAACTATAGGTACAAGATTTTTAAAATAAGATTATACATTATAATATACTATGTATATTTAATTAGGTATATTGATATTTTAGTTATGTGCGGCGAGAAATGGGTATTGTAAATCCTAATTATTTAATTTATATCAACTATTTTACGAATTTCTATTTCAAATTGTGAACTAGTGCGGGCCCCCGCTCCCACACGAAGTGCATGTTCAGCGGCGGGCCCCTGCATCATGTTCAGGGTATGCATTACAGGGTAACAAGTAATAACACCGGGTACGACAAATGAATGAAAATAAAAAAAAAATAATGACAAAAATATGCGCGCAATAGATTTTTACATAATTCAATATAATAATAATAATAATATAATATGACTATCGTGACCAGTGTCCGAGCTCCGTCACCAGGTCTCGCGTTTACGAATTCCGGGATTTACCGGGCCGGGTTGCGCAACTACGTCTCCCGCGACGATATTAGCGTACAAAGAACCCGGACAGAGCGTCTCCTACACCGCGCCAGTGTCCTTCGAGCCTCCACCCGATCCACACGATGACCGGGGGGGAGGAGGGGAGGGGTATACCTCCGTGTGCGCGAGCGTGTGTTACGTGATGCGAGCGAGCGCGCGTACATCCGCCCGGCACGCACTGCACCGGGCCTGCACCGCCCACGACACGACACCGCCGGTTCTCCCTTTCAAGGTGACGGTAGAAAGTTTCGTGACAGCAGCTGCCGCCGTTGCTGCTCCAGGTGCGTATTACTAATATTATTATTATTATTACTACTACTATTACTATACGCGCATTGCACACCGGGTGCAGGTGGTGGTGGTGGCGGTGGTGGAGTTTCGGACACATGGTGGGGGGGTGGGCACTCTGGACTTCGCGTGGAGGACGATCGTCGGACCGGAAGATGGAGAGGGAGGGCGGGAGAACGGAAGCGGGACCGAAGAGAAAGTCGGTCGTCGCCGACTAGACTTGTATCGCGCCGGCCGATTGACACTGGGTCAGTATTATACTAGTGTCTTCAGCGCGAACATCGGACAGTACAATTTTACACTCGTTCGCGACAGTGTCCACGCGGTGCAAAGCGCAAAATAAACTTAACGATTAAAAAACATTTGAAAATAAATTGTACTTAACGTAATATAAACGTCCATAATATACAACGCGCATCCGGTTTTTTTTCGTAGTGACAGTCCACCTGGATACAGTTATACATATACATGGTCGTAAAATTGGGTGAGTAAATAACAAATTACAATAATAATATTATCTAGATCGATTTTATTTGGAGACTTAAGACAAACTATACTTCCTTAACCATGGTATCTTATAATATACTTATTTCGTTTCTCGTACTTTTATCTATACTCCATAGACTACAATATACCAATTAATATAAGTAGATACTATAATACAAACAAACAGAAAATATTACATCGTGATACAATATAGGTAATATATTTATTATTCAAAAGGCTCTATATTATAATATAATAACACCGATGATTATTGTACCTATATAACTTCCCGCCTCTACAGCAAATACGTCCTCTGACTATTTAGAGTATCGTTTTTGTCTTGTATACACTCACACGTTCGCCTTCGGCTTATTAAACGTCAACATTATTAAATTAACAAACGATGATGGGTGATATTGTCCAACGGCGCGAGGTAAAAAACGGTTTTTTGTTTGTTAAGGTTGTTACACTATTCTTTTCTTTTCGCCGTCCTTCAGTTGAAAGTAAAACGACAAAACTGTGAGCAGACGCGCACAATGGGAATTAAAACGGAACAAAAGACCATTGATTGTGTGCGTGAGGTAAACGCCAAGAAAGTCCAAAATTTATTCACCCCTCCGGTTACTGTCACGGCCGAGTACCGGCCCGTGACGAATATCATCCGGCCGGCGCGTGTTGGCGTAGTTTACTAATAATAATTATGGGTATAGGGCGCACATAAATGATGGGAAGGTATACTTTCTTCGTCGGAATAAACGGACATTCCACGGAGAAAGGACTGTCGCCCAAGGTCAGCCGTTTAGAAATGCATTCAAATCGACTGTTACGATATTGTAAACGAAACAATCGTACTATATGATAATATCATTGCTATACGTACAACATCTTCTCCGATTTTATTTCGTTTCGCGCCCATTTTCGTTGATTTCGAACAAAGTCTCGCTCGTCACGACTCGCGACCGCACGTACCACACTATTCCGGAATCGGTTTCAGAATCAATTCCAAATGATATTATTAAATAATCGTTTCCGATTAAATAGTAAATATACCGCAGTTTAATAAACCGTTGTGCGTAGGTAATGCGTGCAGTGCATAGATGTGTATATAGGTTTAGAAGAAATTTACTTTCAGAGGCACTGAACCGCGGTAAACAGTGGCCAAAATTCTTTCAAACGACCTTGGCGGTTTGGTCCTCTCTGCGACATCTTGTAACTAGTAGAGTATAGCGCGATAATACGTATATAACATGTAAGACAGCAATGTTTTTTAGTGCATATTATTAGTGTGTCTATAATAGTCCATGCGTGATGTTGTCAATGGCCGCGGTCGATATAATATAACCAAACGAATTATGTAAAACAGCCTAACAACCACCAAGTAAGCTGTAACCGGTTTAAAGTAAAAAAAAAAATCTAAAAAATTTAAAGACTAATATAATTTCATTATATATTTATATGACATTAATTATTACATCCCAAAACATAAACAAAACGGGACTAGGTATTGAATGTAAATCAATTTGTCGTTTTCAGTGATTATTAATTAATTAATAAAGTAACTCAATACTCTATAGTCTATAGAAACGATTATATTGATAATTTGTTGTTTACATTATCAATTACCTACTAATTAGTTTTCATACCAATCAAAATTGTGCAAGAGAATGAAATTATGTGTGTTGTCGTTGTTACAGTAGATATAGGTTCAATGGATTTTTAAGCATTTAAAATTTTAAAATATCTGTAAATCGATTTCTTTGGAACAAAAGAGGGTACTCAAACTTTAAATGGATTAAAATATAATAAGACTCGTTAAATTATAAAAATCTTAACTAATTGAAATAATAGTTTTCTTACAATATTGTCAGATTAATTCGAAAACATGGCAAAATACGTATAATTATCAATTATGCAAATATTAAAAACCCCAATGACGGCGAAAAATAAATTCGAATAATCACATTTTCTTAATAAATAATTTGTCTAATCGATTGCGATCGGTACTTAAATCGTTTCAAGTCCTTGGCCGTACCGAAATTCAAATTCGTGATTTATCATGTTATTGTATTCATTGAGTGAATTACAATAATGATATTAAATACTTGTGGACATTGTTGCGTCTGATCAAAGTCTCCAAACAATAACGCGACGTGCTCAACCACTATTATGTGTAAATAGTTTTTGCTACCTGGTATCTACGTCTCACTTTAAGTCGTCTTGGAATAGGCTTTCACCTGTATATAACTGATAAAAAAAAGTATCATGATACATTAAAAACAAAAACAAAATATTATGCTTTATTGAATTGAGATTTTTCGACTGTCGTTTTTATTTAAACCATTATACCGACTCTAAAAAAAATACTCTATACAATATATAATAGTACTGCACACGATAATGAAAACGCATATTTCCATTGGTCCTCTCCAAGGTCACACGTCATCCCGCTCACGGTGCCACCCCCCCTGCAGATCACGCACACGTATACATTGCACACGCACTTGCACCTCCGCACCGTACCAAGGCGGGCGCAACTTTCGTCCGGCGAGTGGGTCACGGTCGGGCCCAACAGCGAATATAATACACACAACAGCGAGATTAGAGGCCCTCTCGTGCAAACCAGTTCCGCGGAGCAAGCGGCGACCAGTTTCCCCTTATACGACGATCGTCTAAAAAAAAATAAATAAAAAATTAGGTTAATACGAGTCCGCAGCTTCATCATCTGCGGCCATTCCGTCCAACTGCAGTCATCGCCGAGGTGGTGGAAATCGTAATAACTAAACAGCCAATAGGTATACGGAATAATATTACATTGTTGTAGGTATATGATAGGTGTACGTCGGCTACGCGCACGCGTACGGGACAAGAGTCGCAAAGGTGTGAAATTTGGCACACATTTACCGCACCTATCCAATATAATAATGATATGTACAGCTGATGTTAAACGTGTGTACATAATCATATATTACTATTATTATTATTATTATAATAATATGTATATCGGAATCTGCGGGCCATTATAATATTGGCCGGCGGACAGCCCACGTCGAGCGTATATTATTGTATTATATTTTATAGAAAGCGACAGCCGGACCATCCGCGAGCGAGTGATAACAGTTACCCACAGCATACTCCTGTATAGGTGAATAATAATATTATACATATTATCATATTATTATTGTACCCATATATGAATTATGCCGTGTTCATCCCGAATTCGCATTAACCCAGTGGCATCGTTTCTTAAGGGAGGACCTTGTGATATTTGCAATTTTTTTCTGCTTCCGGTTTCAAGATGTATATATATTTATACCTAATACTCTTCTTTTTGGTTAAAAGTAAAAAAAAGAATTTGCTGATAAATCAGATTTGATCGTTTTGAACACTCATTACATACCTACTTTAAAAAAAGTAAAAAATGATAATTATTAATTTTTAATAATTCATATAAAATCAATCTATTATAATATACCTACAATATATTTATACTAACATATTTATAAAATAACACCACCGCATTAATATATTATAATATAGCCACACCACCCGGTAATAAATAATGATACTCTGCAATTTACAATACCTAGGTACCTATTATATAATATAATATATTATGTTCTGTTATGTTATTCAATTTTGTTGATAGAAACTTACACTATTTACTGATTTATCGTTTACAACGTGAAATTTCGTTGTTTGATTTGATTTTTAACTTATGACCACCCACACATTATTTTATGACTAAATATAATAAGAAAGTACATCAATCCAATTGAGAAATATACGACGGTAATGCAATACACAATAAATACACTTATTTGTATATTGACATGATGTTCTACATATAAAATCATTAATCACACACGCTGAATTACGATTCCATTATGCTACAAAGTAAATAGCGACTCGTTAGTCAATCATTTCATCTTATGTTTTAGTTGTCTTTCAATTGTACACATAATATTAGAATAATATATGAGAGTATTTTCATTTATTAAACTTGAGCACGTTTCGCGGAGACTTAAACGAACAGCCAGCGCCCAGCAGGGGACCGTTATAAAGATTATTTTCCGGATAATATACAATCGATGATATTAATATTTTGAGCAAGGATAATGATATCATACTTTCTTTAACAATTATCGAGCAACAATAAAACGATTAGGTTTTTGGAAAATACTACTTTCGCTCTTAATTCCATTCAAGGTCGTCGAAGAAAATCGCTCTCCGATCCAATTTCTGTAGCACATCAATAACAATATTGTTATTGACGTGATCATAATATTGTCTCGTATCGAATTCGCGCGCATCCCATTATAGCGAACCGGTCTCCCAAAGCGATGTTTTCATATCGGAATAATGGGGAAGAAGATTGACGATCCATTACAGAAGTTCTGCTTAACTCACACACACACACACACACACACACATGCGACACACGTACAAATACGCAGGTACATACACAGCTATATTCATTCAAACAACGTCGGCACTTTCTCTGCATCCATTGCTGACACACATACCTACCGCGTGTGTGTGTTATATGCTTCTGTAATAAAAATACAACCGGCGAAATGGCACGGCTAATACTTTCTACACTAATATGCCGACTGCAGTTGTGTGCCCGAGTACCTCTATATACAATACAATTGCCCTAGACTAAAAATTTAAATGACGAAAAAAAAAATCTAAAATCTAAAAACCTATGGTTTAGCGTTTTTCCGTTGCAAAGTGCGACTTGATCGTGAACACGGTCGTGTATTGCTTTAGGCGAACGTGGTGTATCCGAATCCGGATTCTCGGTTGAGTAAATGTTGTTTTTTGACTTGTGCTGAATTTCACTTCTGCACCATATTACTCGTGTGGGTTGATGCTCGACACGACTTGCCTATGCTATGCGTGTTAAAAAAATTGTATCTTGTAAGTTGCACAACTTACATATTGGTGGCAATTTTAGGATATTTCTGTATTTATTTTTAAACATATATAATTTTATAT